AAAAAAAAAAAAAAAAAAAATTCCTTAAAAAAAAGAAGTCAACAAAAGCAAGGAACAAGAAGAAAAAAGGAAAAGAAAAGAAAAGAAAAAAAGAGCCACGTTGTCGAGATAATGTCAGAACTATGGTCTCTGTTGACTGCAGGGGAGCGTGCAGAGCTCTCAACAGAAGTTCGGCTTTCAAATGGTTTAATGAGACATGGGTTAGTGACTGCAGATCAGTAAACTCCTTTACCAAAACACTTGAAATACTTGCCATTACCACTGGCTTCCTACCTTCTTCACCCGAATAGAACGCCCCGGTTATTATAGCTGTATCTGGACTGAAAAGTGCACCAAATACGGCTATAATGACCGGGTGTTCTATACGGGTGACGACAGTAGGTCAGAAAGTACTGATAAAAAAGCACTGTGAGCCTGAGGCTTCCTAACCCACGAGGAAGAGCTTCGTGTGTGCGACCAGAGTATGTAGCAGTGGAGGGTCATGTGCTGATGAAGAGGGCCTTGTGGGACAATTGCCTGCTTAAACCACCAGTACTTGGGCGACGCCTTAGCGTTAACGCTACGCGATTTCCGCGGCCGGCGGGCCGTCGATAAATCGAATCGGCAGCCCGCGCTGCTTCGAGATTTGGGCGGCTGGCGCGGCGCGCAGTGCCCAAGTACTGGTGTTTTAAGGGTGGAAGTAAGTTCTGAGTGGATCTTCGTCTGAAGGCTATGTAGCAGTGGAGGGTCAGGTGCTGATGAACAGCACCGAGTAGTACGTGTACGACAATTGCCTGTGTGCGGGTGGAGGTAAGTCCTCAGTAGTGTTCTGTGGGGTGTGAGTGAGTACAAAACTATAGCCATCCACGTGTGGGCTGGATATCACGCCCTCTTATACACCATGCACGCTGTGTCATGGCTAAAACGGCTCTTTTGTTTTTCATTTGTTTTTTCCGTTTATTTTCCGTTTATTTCCCCCCCCCCCCCTGTTCTACTACATGTGGTCTTAGTTTTGGCAAGGTTCGGCGTACCCGTAGCCAGAGGGTCAGAAAAAGAGTAGCTCCAGGTACTGGTGGTTTGAGAGATTTGGCTCTTGTGGCTAAGGGTGTTGGGGGTTTAAGAGACCTGGGTGCTGGTTCTATTTTGTGCGGATGGAAGTTCGCAAAAAAAAAAAAAAGAAAAAAAGTACTGGTCAAAAACCACTTCTGAGACTGAAGCTACCTGATTTAATTTAGTATTCCCCCCCCCCTTCTTAACAGACTGGGAAGCTATACATAGACGAGCTATGTCTGTCTAATCTGACAGCCAATTACGGGTGAGAGGTCCTCCCATCAGAGTACAAAAGAATCTGGCGCTTTGAACTTCATTTGGACTCTGGCCCCAGTTACCCTCTCGTGACGACGCCATGTGGAAGATTCTCCGGTGGTTCGTAGAACAACTTGCCGCTTTCTGCGCGCCTCCACAAATGCGAGTTGTGCAGGACACAGATGTCATGCACACTGCCAGGATATCCGACGTGGACGTCCAGGACACACAAGTCTAAATCCACCACCGCCTGTGCTTGGACTGAAAACTTCTGCTTGCGGTCGTAGTAGTTCTCCTTGGCAGTTCTCCGATGGTGCGCCAGCAGGCTTGTCGCTGTAGATATGCGTGCAGTCAATTGCACCATAGCAGTTAGGGAAACCCTTCTCCCGGAAGGCACGCAAAACCTGTGCACGCCTCCTTCGAGTCGGCCACGTGATTGTGTTAGGGTACACCTTCAGCAGCATGGAAGTAACGTCGCGGACGACCACCAAACCAGAAGACCTGCTGATGCCAGAAGATGACGTGCTGCTCTCGTACATCTCCCCAGACACCCACTTGTACAGCGTGAATGCCACCTCCGCTCCACGACCAACGGTAGCCTGTAAGGCGTCACCTTTCTCTCTAGATACAGGGCGCATGCAGTGACGATTTGCATAAGACTGCCCTCGACATGCGCAACTTCTCACGGAAGAACCCATCCATTGCATCGTCGCACACTAGAAGATCTGCCCAGGTCCCGCCGTCCTCCGCTTGATCCACCACCGTGGTGTCTGACGGGGGATGACGTCGGTGGAGAGTGCCACACAGAACTGAGCACGGCTTCAGATGTTGCCACACAATCCCGTGCCTCTACCACAAGCTGCAACAGCGCCCTGTGCTTTTGATACTGCAGACACATTCCTTGCTTTGTGGATGCCATCTCCCTCTCTGACTCCAGAACGATGGCCATCACCGCCAATCGGCGCCCGCCTACGTTCACCGCCGAGGAGGACTTAACGCGCCAGTACCTCAATAACTCGCCACGCAGAAGATGATGAAGGCACTCTACACAGGCTCTGCGGCCTCTATTTGACATCATCCGTGGCGGCCGCCCGTCCTCAAGCCGTTGCACGCCCCTGTGCGGCCTTGCCTCCACTCGCGTTTTTGCCTCTAAAGACCCGTCTGTACCATGGACACTGGATGGCGAGGGGCGAACACCAGCGGCACCGCTCCAAATACGTATATAAATCTGGCGGCGGGTAACCATTTAGGACAAGTCCTGAGAGCTATTAAAAGCTATTCTTTTAGGAATGCGTGTAGCCGCGACGCCACAATTCCTAAAATTATTTTAGGACTGAGTCCTAAGTCTTTTAGGATTCGTTAGAGGCCTTGCTTGTCCGCTCGTCGCCGCACGCTTTGGAATAGCGCTAGCTCTTGTGCCAATTGCCGTGGCCGGCCCGCCTGCTGCGATGCTTGATGCGCCGTCTTACTGACGTGCTTCCATGTCGATTAACCCTAAGACTCGCGCCTTCCATTGACCGCTGGACGTGGTGGACATGGTGACTTTGACGCGAGCTAGACGACGACGGGTTTCATGTGTTTCTTACGTGAGCCGTCTGCCCGGTCGGATATCCATACATGTCGTTCTTTTCGGGTGACCCTGGCAGCCCGACTCTTGATTGAGTCGGGGAATGTTTGCGTTCGGGCGAAGGTTGCCTCCGACAGCTCCTTACCCAACTTATCCAACCTCCATACCTCTTTGACCTTCTATGTGCTAGTTAGGGCCTCGTTAGACCCTCCTTGAAAAATCCTCAGGAATTAGGACGAAGTCCTTGGAAAATTTCAAGGAATTCGGCGGTGTCGTTACACCGCATCCTAAACGAAAGGGTCCCAAGGAAAAACCTTGGAGGTATCCCGCAGCCAATTTCATACGCAAATGCGAGGCCGCGGGAGAGGATGTCCGTCGTCGTCGAGGGATGTCCGTCCGTCGTCGGGCCTGGTCCACTGGCGGCGCAAGGAGGCCCGCGATGCTGCGCTGCGAAAAGAGGCGCTAAAGTTCCTTTTCGAAATTCGAATTTCAAACCGTCAGCCGAGGTAAAGGCGCGCCGTGGCGTCACCACCCCTGGAGCTATCAGTGTGCGAAACATGTGCGCGGACGATTTGCGGCACCCATCGCTGTTGGCGACTCGTTCATCCGATCGTCAGCCGGCGCGGCGCGAAAGGTGACGACGTTGGAGCGCGTGAAGTGGTGTGTGTCCCGCCTTCGTCTTCCTGCAGATGACGACGATCCGGTGGCTCGCCATAGCTTCACGCGCCCGTCATTCGTGTACGAGGGTCCACTCCAACGTCCTCTGGGATAGTGTGTGACGAGGGTCCAGTCCTCCGTCTGTTGTGGTTGTTGAACAAGGCGCCGTCGGGGCATCGTGATGGAACACGTGTCGCAGGAGGTTCGTGGCAAGACCTTGAGCAGGGTGGAGAGAAATGCGGTGGTTGCAGCGGTGTCGGCGGTGGCCATGCGATGTCGCATCGAGAGAACGACGGCGCGGTTRAGGACGAGAGTGTCTATCCGCAGGCAGCGTGAGCTCCTCCACCACGTGATGGCGGCGCCAGACTGCGTGTCCATGTCCGAATCCATTACCCAGTTCTGTGCCGCCATGTCATCCGGGGCGATACCGCGGGCGACTCCAAGGTGGTGGATGCGGAGAAGGACGGGTGRCACGTGGGAGGATCTGCGGAAGATGGACGACGCCTCGGACGAGTACTACAAGGAAAAGTTGAGGATGACCCCCAGGGTGTTCATGGAGATCGTGGAGGCGTTGTCTCCTCTTCTGCAGCGGCGGGTGACATTCTACATGGTTCCTTTGCAGCCGGATCACATCATCGCATATGCGTTGTACCGATGGGCGAGCGGTGAGATGTACGAGAGCAGCACGTTGTCATTCGGAATAGGGCGCGCATCTGGGTTGATCGCAGTGGAGGACGTTACGAGGGCGCTGCTGAGGGTGTACAGTGACAAGATCGTATGACCTACTGGGATGCGCCGTACGCTCGTTCTGCGTGCCTTCGAGGCGAAGGGCTTTCCCAACTGCTATGGCTGCATAGACTGCACGCACTGTTACGTCGACAAACCGGCGAACGCTCCTTCGGAGAACTACTTCGACCGGAAGCATCGTTTCTCCGTTGTAGCGCAGGTGGTGGTGGACCTGGACTTGCGCATCACGGGCGTTTTCGTCGGTTACCAAGGGAGCTGCCATGACATTCGGGTGCTTCAACTCTCCAGTCTGTGGGCGCGTGCGGAGGAGGGGGATCTTTTCTGTGGAGCTCTTGTTGTGCTTCCGTTCGGAGTGACGATACACAGTTACATTCTGGGCGACAACGGGTATCCACCGCTAGAGTGGATTGTCGTGCCGTACGGGGGGACCGATCAAATCCCCGACGAGGAGAGGTTCGACAACAAGCAAAAGGTCACCAGGGGAGCAGTGGAGAGAGCTTTCGGGAGATTGAAAGGGATGTGGAGGCTGTTCCTCCGCACACACAAGACGAATATGGTCACTCCCACAACAGTTCCAGGCCGTGTGCATTCTGCACAACATCCTCCTTGACGCTGGCATGGAGTTCGACGACAACTTGCTGTGGGAGGTCGATGCTCATGGCGTGCGGCGGCGAGTGGACTTGGGGTTGGATCATCCACCCCACCCCATTGCTGAGAACTTCAATCGGACCCGTGCGTTGGCGCTACGCGAGGCGTTGGCGGAGAGGATGAAACACACGTGAAGGCGCGCACCGCGTCGACGACATGTGGCTCTGCCGTCCTTCTGGAGGTCGTTCTGTGTTGTGTCCAACGGAGGCATTCTGTGTTATTTAGCTGTTGCAGGCGTGTGCCGTGCCCTGGGGTGTTGTGTACGTTCAGTGCGGGTTGTCATTGATCGCTAGTGTCGCGGAGCTGTCGTCGGAGACGCTGTTCATTCCTTTTTTTTTTTTTGTTAAACATTTTGTAGTAGGTTTTTGGCGACCGGTGATACGGTTTGTTGTGAGTGAGTGCGCGCAACTGCGCGATTTCGTTTTCGAAGAAGACGGTGTCTGTGGGCGGGGTAATCAGTCCGGAGGTGACTCGTTTTTGTTCTCCTTTTTTGAAATGTGTACTTTGGAGTGGAGTTCCGGCTGCGTGTGTGCGTCTATCGGTGCTGTGTGAAGATGCTGTGATTTCGTGTATGTGATTGCAATCGAAATGTCTTTTTTTCCTATTTCATTTTTTTTCGTGTTGCGGTTTGTATGTTAGGGGTGATGTGTGCGCCTTCCATTGATCTATTGTCTCCTCAGGACAACTGGAGCGTGAATGCGGTTTTTTTTTTCTGCGTTGTTCACAGTGCGCTTTCATCAACAATCTGAAAGCCAGTCCACCAGGAATGCCCGACCTCGCGGAGCATCACACCCTAGCTTGGACGAGTCTGGCGGCCAACCGATCAACCGATCATTGGATCAGTTCATCGGCTTGCTGGCAAAGCTGTCCATCCTGAGGTGCGTAGATCATACGTATCATCCCATTGGAAACCAACGACCGTTCCAAACAATCACCCAATCAGCACGAAGAAAAGGATATTCACACCAAACAGGAGAAAGTGAGATTTGAGGGAACGCATCGTCATATTCCAACGGGACACACCGTTCATTTGCTGGGGTAGGTCGAATTAACACACTCGCACATGATCATCATTGCCATCACAGTGGCAAACAACGACCGTTCCAAACAAAAAAACAATCACCACGAAGAAAACGACATTCACACCACTCACGAAAAAGAGAGATTTGAGGAAACGCTTCATCACATTCCAATAGGACACACCGTTCCATTGCTAGACTCCRTCCAATGAAYACACTCGCTAAACCCTATCGACATCGGACTGTCGTTTTCAACAAAGAACAATAAAAGGCGCCGCTCGTCATTCCTGGCGCAGACCAACCATCGCACTGACTTCACAATGCACCTTCAAATACCCTACAAAGCCGACCTCTGTCGGAGGTTGGTTAACAGCTACCAAGCGCCTTTGGGAGACGAGACACTGCGCGCGTGCAACGGGGTGAAACAGGAACACAATCTACGAAGGGGCCCTCTCGTGGCGAAATGCGTCAATGCATGCAAACCATTTGCGGTCGTCGCCGTCATCCCCCGACTCCGAACATCCATGTGCCCCCCCCCCCCCCCCCCCCCCCCCCCCCCCCCCCCCCCCCCCCCCCCCCCCCCCCCACCCCCCGCCGATCCGGCATTTCCATTTCCCGCCATGTCGAAACCTTGATGACGGACCGCTTCACTACATGGGCGATACCTTCTTCCTTGTCACACAAGACGGCCATATCGAGGACACTTATGCTCCCGTTTCGTCATCGGTCCCGTCCTCCTTCCGATCGGCTTCAAAAGGTCCCGTCCCCATCCAGTCCACTCTCGCCGCAACGTCGGGGTCCGCCAGACCAACGTTGCAGTTGTATCGCACTCCGCACGAAGCCCACTCCGGGATGTAGTTAGGGAAAGCGCCCAGCGTCAAGGGTGGCTTCCGCAGGCGAGTCAAGACCACGTTCGCCGAGTGCATCACGAAGGACGATGAACACGCCGCCACGAGAGTCGGCTTCGCCACCAGCTGCGCGTAGTAAGACGCCTCGTCGTAGGAGCGCGCATCGTCGCCTCCCATGTGCATGATCCACATGCACGCGGCGAGAAGCAGGTGGAAAGCATCCCCGATTCTGCTATGTCTCTCGTGTGACAATCTACCGCCGTCCCACCACTGCCCAACCCGGAGCGCGTCGTGGAAGCATGACGCAATATGCATCACAGTCGCTTCCTGGTGCGGGGCCATGTCATCGTCCTCCGGCCTATTCTCGATATATGCCCCGGCGAACCACACTGGGATGTCCATCTTCAAAGCTACTGTGTGGTAAACTACGGCGGGAGGCACTATCCTCGACCACTCGAAGCTCTGCCAAACTGCTCTCGCCAGGTCGGTGGGKTAATCTGTGGCGACGTAGGACTCCGCGCGGGCGAAACCATCGAACCTTGAAGACGACCTGAATATCCACCCGTGGATGACGCGCATTGCCACGTTCTCCGTTCGTCTCGCCCGTCTGAGAGCTGGCTCTTGTTGCGCGCCATCTTCGATCCGCACGCGCGGGACTTCGGGGGGCGGCATCATGAGGCCTTGCGGAGCGCTGGCGCCTGCATCTCCATTGACGATCGCGCAGAAGTAGTCCGCGCAGGAATGCACTGCGTCCGCGATCATCCGTCCGGGGCCGGTTGCCCAGAACGCTTTGCCGTCTACCCACAGCTTCGATTTCGCCTCCAACTCCTCCTCTTGGCGGGACCTTTTCTTCCTCGCGCTTAGAGGCTGGTCGTCCTCTTCTTCCCCGCGCGGAGTCTCCTCCCTCCTCTCCTGTTTTCTCCCCGCTTCTTCCACCCTCCTATCTTCTCGCCTTTATCCAACACCGACGGCGACGGCATGACCAGCGGCGCTCGCTGCTTGCGCAGATTGAAGCACATCCCTCGGCGAAGCGGCGACGATCGTCGGGTTCGGCGCCTCCACGTGGCGCGATGGAGACTCACCTACCGGAGCTTTTTCGCCGTGCTCGGACACGGATGCGATGGTGGATGCAGAACCCACGGCCCTCTGCGGCGGAATGTCACCGGACGAAACTCCTTGCGCACGAGTCGTCCCGCCACCGTCGCCGCGCGTGGACGTCGGGACGCCAAGGTTGGTGAGCGCAAGCATACGCTGCCTGCTCATACCGTCACGCCCGAACCCGAGCACAGGCATCCCTTTAGAAGTGATGTCCATAGGCGTCTCCTCCTCTCCCCCGTCACCCCCCATCTCTCCTTCTGACCCATCTCCCGCGCGGAGCTTCTTCGACTTTGGGATGTGGCCCCTTCCTGTTTGCCCTGCACTTGCTTCGCCGGAACCACCGTGTGGACGTTTCGCCTTCTGCTGGCCACGTGGCGCCATTCGTTGACGGTCGGATGTGCACGCCCAGTGAATGAAAACGGACTACCGTAGCGCACGAGAGGAAGTCGCCAGGGATCGTCTTGCGCGGGCGATGTTCAGCTCCCCGCGCAGCACAACGGGAACCCCACGCGTGGCCTTGCGCGCAGTCGACAAGCAAAAAACTGCGAGAAGATAGCGCTCGCGCGGACCTTTATAGTGCTCGCGGTGACATTTCCCCTCCCTCGGCACACAGATCCCGCCCGGATGGCCTCCAACACACCCCTCCACGCGACGACATCGACGATCACCCATTCCGCATGGGGGGAGACCACCCCAAATACCCAGGGACAATGAGGTCCGGGGAATGGACGGCCCTGCCCTGGAGAGCCAGCGACTCAACATTTCGAAGCGCGCGAGGGTACACGGCCATCGCGCACACCATCCCCCGCCTTGTTTCCTAGATTTATGTCGTCGTTCGGAGGACCGGCACCACATTTCGCGACGGGCCAGATCGCAGGCGAATCCACTTCAACGGCTTGACAAACCTCATGCCACCGGCGTCAAGATCTATCCCTTATCGCTCTGGCAATCTCCATCAACGTCGTGCACATCATCTTGTTCGCCTCATCGGACGTCGTGTAATGCCTCTCCAGTATGTCACACTGGCGCTTCTGGGCTTCAACCTCCCGGTCGAGGATGTCACACTGCCACTCCAGGATGCTACACTGCCGTTTGCTCGCACCCTCTACCGTGTCCGCCATCAATGAACCGTGTTTGTCCATGACTTCGGCGATGGCGTCGAAGGTCTGCTGCCGCATGTTCTTCCTCTTCGCTGGAGTGCCCGTGCTCCCTGCACTGAACACCGTCTCCCACGCTGAACCCACATCTTCGTCAACGCCATCACCCCCCTCTCCACCAGCAGAGGACTCTCCACCAACGGCCGCCTGGCGGTAACCATCCATTGCTGGCGGCACTCCTCCGCGTGCGCTCGTGTCTGCCACGTTGTCCGGGTAGATGGTCTTGTTATTTTTCGACATGTTGTCGATCTCATTAAAGACTCGCTCATCCATTCGGAAGTTGAAACCCTCGTCCGCTCTCGTTGCAGGAGTTAATGTGAAGAAGTTCTTCCCGCCGGACATGTTCTGGTAACGCTGCACCTTCTTGTACTGCTGGAAGACGTTGTCCCACTTCTTCCCTATGTCGTCCGTTGTCCTGTCCACTCCGACCTCCGCCAACCGTTTCTGCAGGTCCAGCAGCTTCCACTCCCTGTTGCGCATGCGGCCGTAGTTGTGTGGCATTCCCTCGAAATGAGCTTGCTGATCCCGCTTCGCTCGAGCGAGCTTCAACATCTCCTCCACACTCCAAGCTGGGTGCTTGCCACCCTTGTCGCCCACAAGAGCCCTCGATCCTCGGCCACCACGCGACTCGCCCCTCTGCTGACGTCCGCGTCCTCCCCTCCGTCCACCACGCGCAGCCACGGGTCGGATCTCCAGCCCCTCACCGTCTTCCGCGTCCTCTTCATAACGGGAATCCGGAGACTCGTCCCCACTTGCCCGACGACTGTCGTCCGCATCCACGTCGCTCCCCACACGAAGCCTGGACACACCGGTGGTTATGTTCTCCGTGGCAGCACGCCGCATCTGTAGGCGGCAGTTCTCCCACGCCTCCCTCCCGATGTCTTCCGGTGGAGTCCCATCATTGATTGCAGCACTTGCGGTCGCCCTCTACCGCATTATAGGCGAAGACACCGACGGGCGGATGGGTGTCACTGCCCTTGACGACTCGCCAAGTGGCCCGGCGCCCATGGAACTCGGGACCGGTGGACGACACCCATTCGTTGGCCCACCGACACGGGACGATCCTCCTCCCAACGTTGGCGATCCCACCACCCCTCCGCCGTGGATCGGACCACTTGCACCACTCCCGCTGCACAATCCGAAATCCAAGTCCACAAGCTCCGTGGCGGCGTTGTCGACACCCTCCTCCAGCAATGCGGTGAACGACTCGCGCGTGGTCCCTGCTTCCCTCTGCTGGCACTGCCTGCTCGTCCACTCCTGCGTAGATCCACTCCCCAGAGGAAGTGTGTGCGACAGATCCTCAACCCAGGCGTCCTCCGGATCCGGCGGTAGCAGCTGTTCGTGCGGTGGAAGATGATTGTACAAGGACGGGTCGTATGCGGCGGGTCGATGGCCGGACCGGGGACAATCAGGAATGGAGAAATCCATCACACGTCTCTGCTGTCCGACGGAGCTGTCCTGCCTGTCCATCGTCGTCTTCCTATCCACTTGTCGTCTATGTCTACGCCCAGGAGGCCGCGTCACGACGAAGGCGCGCAAAAAGACGAGAAGAAGCAGCAGAAGAGATGCTAGTAACAGGAGCGGTAGCCGCCGGAAGATGTCTGCCATGAAACGCACCACGTGTAGATGACCACCCGAACGGACAACCCTCACGCGCGCACGCGAATGGCAACAAACGGGGYGGCCGGYGACAACATCACACCCCGCACATAAAACACATTTCGAAATATTCGACCGTTGGACACGACGCCCGACGAAGTGCAGAAGGAGAACCCCGCCGCTCCGACGTCTGTTGCACCCGAAGCGGAACCCCCGGCCATGTACGCGCGAACGGTAACACCAGAAGGCCGTTGGTGACCTCCCGCCGGTAGCAACTGGATATTGTCCACCCGATGGACCACGGACGTCATGTGCACCAGCAAAAATTGAAACTTCCCGTCACGACGCATGCTCGACGACGGCCTGTCTATCGCGGATCCTTGAGCCCAAGGGACCTCTCGAGGACCCCTTGAATCCAAGGCAATGGATGGGGATTCCGAGGAACCCAAGGAAATCTCCTGGGAGCGTTTTCACATTTTTTCAAGGATTTTTGTTTTTTAGGACGCGGTGTAACCATAACTTTGGACATTCCTGAGGATTTTCAAGGAGGGTCTAACGAGGCCCTTATTCCTGTAGACCTCGGGGCGCCGCTCCTCCCATAACAACCATTTCGTCAAAATGGACATTTTTAATTTTTTGAACGAAATTGAAACTGAGTTTTTTGGCCGAAAACTCGTCAAAAAAATTGCTGTTCCTGAGGGTCCAGCATTTTACAAACGCTGGACCCCCTGGCTGTACATGGACCTAGCTTGAGACCAGACACGTCCAGGCAGGACTGCCTGGAGGTACCTGGTTTCAAGTTAGGTCCATGTACAGCCAGGGGGTCCAGCGTTTTACAAACGCCGGACGCTCAGGAACAGCAAATTTTGACGAGTTTTCGGCCAAAAAACTCAGTTTCAATTTCGCTAAAAAAATAAAAGATGTCCATTTTGACGAAATGGCAGTTCCATAGTGCTTTCGGCTCGAGGGAAGGGTTCCTCTTTCGGCACTCTGGAGATGCTTGACGCAACGGCGGATAGTTGGGTCATCTCGACACCATCAAGGGACCCGTCAGTATTGTGCCTTTCCAAGCGGGTCGAGTTGGAAGAGAAGTACAACCCTCACGAAGGAATAAGCTTGAAGATGATGGCCACTGATGATGTGAGGAACGAATTGAGAAACAGTGGAGGATCAGATTCTGTATCTGGCCTTGTTTTGGGCTAAATACATCTCACATCAGACCTGACCAATCATTGAAGAAGCATCTGGCCGTAACTTGGGTTCAATACACCTGTTGAAACTTGGAGGGCTAGTGCGAGCTGAATTTAGAGCTTCGGCAGCGGCGTTGCTGTGGGCAGTGGGAGAGCGCACAGCAGTGGTGGGAGCACGTAGACAGCCTTAGGAGTGGGAGTGCTGGGCACTGCTAGCTTAGACTTTGAGATTACTCCGCTTCAGGCACAAAATATTTGTTGTAATCAAAGGAGGAAGTCCGTGCCATGCTGTCGCGTGGGATTTTCAATTCTTGTGTCCCTTTAACCCTATTCATAGTACAGTTTCATAGATTGCTAGCATGCTCAAATAGGTTTGCTCCGGCTCTCATCTTGCATATAGCGGCATTGTGAGATATTTGAATCCTTGTGCGCCTTACTTGGCCTTGTTTGTGGGATAAGGAGATTTCTGAATTGCCGACCTGGCTAGATGAGAGCTCGCTTACCCTGTTTCATAACAATTGTGCATGTTCGCTTACCCTGTTTCATAACAATTGTGCATGTTCATCCGGTCTTCATTACTCCCTTTCTTACTTTGTTAATTGCTGTGTTACACTATCCCTTCATTTCCCTTTTCTTGTCAAGCAAGGATAAAAGCGTTATTCCGGTCTTTCTGCCTTGGGAAGCCCAGTTTGGCTTTGCTGTGGCATGCTTTAAATCCTACGTACTTCGCGGCGTTCGAGTGGGAAAGTAGGTTGATATCAATTCAGCTTCGGATTCTACCCTGACCAATCACACTGCGAGCCAGTTTCCTTGTTTCTCTAAAATCTGAGGGATTTTCGGTTAGAGTACCTTGGACAAGGTTGTCACAATTTGTCTTACTACTCTCGTGCATTTTTTGGACAATTTGGGCAAGGGTTTGGACCTTCCTAATGGCGTATCTAGTGCTTACAAGACCATTGGAACGCTTCCGTTATTGCCGTAGCAATCAGTGGATGCTTCCGTTATTGCCGTAGCAATCAGTGGATGAAGCCACTTGAGGGCGATTCAAAGCATCTTGGTTCACAGTGCTCTAGCCCCACCTCCTCCTTGAGTGGGGGAGGGAGCGCCTTTGTGCTCGGGACTAGAATGTTCTGTGCAAAGGCGATGAAGGCTGGAAGTGCGGGAGGTGCAACTGGTGGTGTTGTCGCCAGAAGGAGTGGGAGACCAACTGGAGGCAGTGGGAACACCACCGACTGTGCCGACGGTGTGCCCCCAAGAACACTTCGAGACAATTATCTAAGCGGAGTAGAATGATTAATGGGTGAAGCCTATCAAGGGCAATTTACCCTAATGCATGAAGCCTATCAAGGGCAATTTACCTTGGTTCAGAAGTTTCTAGCCCCACCTCCTCCGTGAGTGGGGGAGAGAGCGCCTCTGTGCTCGGGACTAGAATTCCTTGTCTAAAGTTGAAGCCACTTCAGGGCGATTGGAAGTATCCTGATTCAAAAGGCTCTAGCCCCACGTCCTCCTTGAGTGGGGGGAGGGAGCGCCTTTTTGCTCGGAACTAGAATTTTCCTGTGTAAGATTGACGATGGTGGGAAGCTTTGGTGGTGCAACAGGTGGTGATGGTACCAGAAGGAGTGGGAGATCAACTGGTGTCAGTGGGAATGCCACCAATTACGCCAATGGAGCCCCCCCCCAAAAAAAACACTGCGAAATCTGAAACACTTCATATATAAGCCGAGAAGAATGATTACATCTAGCCTTACACCATGTTCCACTTTGGACTCGTTGCAATGTGGTCGAGTGTTGCTGATTGATGGTCTTGCTGTAATTCGCTCGCCTTCTGGATTGTGCCTGACATTTGGCTAGGTTGGACTCGTAGAACCTTCAGTCAGCCTGGTCTCTGGGTTGGAATGTCTTGATGGATATAGGATGGGCATATCTGGTTTTCTTTCTACAGTTTAGAATATTTTGTGTGCTGCTAGTAGCAGCGTGTTTGATAGCTTTATAATTCCTTGTGTCTTGGACTCTTGGTAGGTAGAATGATCTTTCCTTTTGAGCTTTCAGCAAGGTTTTTGAGAAGGTACTGCTGAGATGGGACGTTCGACCCGGTTTCCAGCACCAGCCAAAACTGGGTAATGGCCCCAGTATTTCCGGGTTGAATTGTGAGGTCCCCGGTCTCGTCTCATTTGGGAATATATGATGAAGCCTTTCTCAAAAAACTAAAAATAAAAAAATCTTTTTGGATTCCTTTAGGAGTGTCTAGCGAGCCCCTTACCAGCTTGGTAACTGTTCAGTATTGGACCAGGTGGTGATCCCCACCACTAGACTGGAACCATCGGCTGAGCAAAACCTCAATCTGGGTGGTGCTCTTACCACCCTCAAATTGTAGGTTCATGTCCCTCTTCGTCGCGACTCGAACACCCTGACGAGTGCCGGTATTGGCTATTCGAAGAGGTGATAAGAGCACCCTCTGCGAATAGGACTCCAAGGAGAAGATGGCTCCAATCTATAGGTGGGGAGCTGCACCTGCTGGAAACGGGGTCCAGCGTCCCAAGTGCAATATAGGAGCCTATATTACTTCGTTGATGACAACGGCCAGCATTGATTACGCACATTAGGAGGGGATTAACCACCCATCTGAACTGAAGGACAGATGTACAATCTCAACTTACACTCAGTTGATGTAAGACATCTGCCAACCCCCATGGCAAAACCCCTGTATAGCTATCCTCATAGCACATCCCAGCGGTTAGGCGGGCGGACCATTAGCGCCATCGGGCTGGTCGAGAGGAGGGGGGCAACTGAAACGACTTGCCCCGAGTAGTCCAAATATGATGGATAAGCAATCTATTTATCCATGGTCCGAGAGTAAGTTCCCTACGAAGTCGCCACCTCTCCCTACTGGAGACGAGGTCCTCCCCCCCCCTCTGCCATGTGAAACAGCAAGTTAGGTCAACCAGATAGAACCATTCCACGTCCCATCAGGGTGAAATCCATTCAGGGTCTCGTTAGACACTCCTAAAGGAATCCTCAAATTTTTAGGACGAGTCCTAAAGGATTTTTAGGATTTCCTGCGGCGTCGTTACACGCAATCCTAAAAATCATCTTTAAGGATTCGTCCTAAAAGGTCTCCCGCGGCCAGTTTTAATATGCGTATACGCAGCCGCGTCGCCGATGTCCGTCCATTGCTGGCCGCAGTGGCTGGTGTCCGTGGTACACACTGCGGTGGGCCGTCCGCAGGTGACGACGGGTCAGTGAAAAGCGCGCGGACCCAGAAGTTCGAAAATTCGAATTCGAAATTTCGCGGACGCAGGGTGGCCGGGCAGAGGACGGCCAGGCGATGCGTACGACGTAGAAAAGACGGCGCTGATGATTCGTGGTGAACCCTTCATCGTGGGTATCCATCTTTCGAGTCCGCGCGACTGGCGACCAGCGGGCGCATCTTCGGCGACGGTGCATCTTGAGCTCCGGCGTGCGAAGTCAACTGTGGCAGCGTAGAGCAGCGGGCCTATGAAACGCCCGCGGACGCGTCCGCGGGTCCGATCTCGGATGGCGGACGCAGATGGGGCCGCGTCCGTGGCCGACCTGGTCCGCGCCGCAGACCCGATTTTACCAGAATTTTCCTGAATTAAATAATAGGTTAAAAAAAACAAAAAAAAACATGGGGTTATAGGGAATTTTAAGCCCTACAACCCCATATTTGTTTTTTTGGAATCCGACTTTTTTTAGGATTTTTAAAAAATCAATAACTAAATTCGATTTAAAGAAAAATTAAAAACAAAATATAAAGAAAAGCTGGATTTTTTTTTTGTCATTTTTTATCATGAGATATATGGTCTCTGAGTTCACCTGCATTTTTTTAGAAATGAATTTCTGTTTTTTGCAGGGGTATGAGGTGTTTAAAAAAAAATGCAGATGCAAAATTTGAAAATA